CATGCGTGATCATCCGTTAAGCAAATGATAGGTACAACCATGGAACTCGTTACCAAGCGATCTGGTGACGGCCGACAAAAATTGTTGCATTTTAAAAATTGATTGAATACAAACCATTTCTAACAAATCGTTTATCCGCATTGACTATATAAATCAATAAATTGTACATTTAAGGCCCTAGGGCTCTTTTATTACAAACTTAGTGCTGTCGTAAAAATAAATACAAAGTTGGCAATCACAGCTGCGCGTAAGCAACTGTATAACAGAAAGGAGTAGTATGCTACACGTGGTAGGCTAGTAAGCCAGATCCGATTTACAACGGACCCTCTTATAAAGTAATATTCACTAAGCAGTTATAAACTCCTACATCGGTGGCAGAGTACAACGAGCCACCGACCTTCAAAAAAGGTAGGATAAAAAACTGCTTAAGCAGGCAATTAGATTGATATGGTATGATATGGTGCAGTTAGATGGGATCCTGGTGTTGAGAATTTCGGAACGCTTATTGTCGTGGGAAAGTCATATAGCATTATGGGGGCAAGATATGAGGAACTCATTGGGGACAAGGGGGTCGAAACGAGGAGGGGACGGTAGAAGTCACGGCAACATCACCAAGATGCGACCCACCAGACTGCAGAGTCTACCGACAATTTGGCGACAGCGTAAGAACATGCGATGATCATCAATAGCGACTTCGAAAACCGCCACCAGTGTTGCAAAAGTGAGAAGAGTTCGCACTATTTGGAAATAATGCTTGACTCGGCAGAGGAAAATTTAGACATATTTAGAGACCACCTTATTATCCTGGAAAGAGTCTCAAATAATAGGAGGACTTCTTTCGAAATCTATAAGTTGCATATTTGGGAAGTAAATAGAAAGTAGCGACCTTATTTCCTTCAAATTTAAATGATTACGTAATTTCCCTTCGAAAATTGGTCATGAAGAAGGCAACTTAATTTTGAGTGGATGATTGTGCAAAACAAAAGCAATGGCACTGATAAAATTGACTAAGCGCGGCTGAAACGACGGGACCGGTTCAGATTCCGTCGTAAGTTGTTTTGCGAAAAAGCATTAAACAATTCAGCCTTGTTAGACTCATCGAGCCCAGAAGTTTTATCTTCACTTAGCAATTGTGGGATTTCATGATCTCGTTTAGCGGAGGACCGACGACGGAACAGTTGGGCAACAGATTTTGCAGAGTTCAGCTTGCTGAGTGCGCAAGATTCTCTCTGTTTGTCACGTGCAAGCCGAATCTTAGCGGAGTGCGCAAGATTCCCTCTGTTTGTCACATGCAAGACGAATCTTAGACGCTAATTCGAAAATCTCTGCGATTCCTCTGTTTTTCACATGCACGACGAAACTGAAGCGCTAATTCGAAAATCTCTGTGATTCTTAGGTGCACAGATAATTAACTAGTAGACTGATTATTCAACTGTTCTTTAAATTTCTTTAGTCATGGCAAAAGAAAGTGAGGAACGGTGGGATC